ACGGCGCGCGCCTGCGCACTGTGCCCGCGCGGTGCCTGCCGGGCGGAAGGGAGTGAGGTCGGGGGTTCCTCTCTGCGGGCGTGGAGGGGCGCGGGGTCGCCTGGGATCCCGCTGCGTCAGTCCTCGCGCGCCCGGCCGGCCTCTCCGGCCGCCTGCCCCTCTCACCTCTTGCCAGGCAGCAGCAAGCGCTGCAGATTCCCTCTGCAGAGGGCCACAGCCACGGCCGGTTCCCTGTTAGCATCAAAGCCCCCGCCGAAAATCAGCCTTCACCTCGCGCTCCTAGCCGCGCGGTGCCCCCTCAGGTAGACCCACCCCGCCCCCCGTGTTGTCTTTTTCGGGTGCACTAGGTGAGCCCCCTGCCTGGATGCACAGACGGCTCCAGATCTGCGTTTGCGGCCCTCCCCAGCTCCAGGCTGTGTCTGTCTACATGGCCCACTCGCCTCGCACCGTTCCGCGTCCACCCAGCGCCTGTCACGGAGAGTGCGCACACGTGCTGCCTTACCCACGTCGGACACAGCCGAGCAAACTAACCCTCGGGATCCCTGTCCTGTCCCCCTGCACAGCGGTGTCATCGTCCATCCACTCTCAGGGCGCCCCGAGCCGTAAACAGCAAGTGCTGTTGGTCTTACTTCCAAAAAGACGTGTGTGTGCGCGCGCGCGTGCCCACCTCGCTGGGGTTTGAACCAGGGCCTTACACATGCTAGGCAGCTCTTTACTGTTGCAAAAATACAGCATCTTGAGTCCAGTGACTTACGATTTTTCTCCTCTGCTAGACCCCTGCTCCAAGCCGCTATATCTCTGTGGTAGCTGTAAGAAATCGCCACAAACTCCATAGCTGACAAGAGCAGAAATGCATTCCCCTCCAGGTCTGGAGGCCAGAAGACCAGTAGCAAAGTGTCACCGAACCGAATGCCCTGCAGGAGAGACTTATGTGCTCATGTCTTCTGGCTTCTGATGGTGGCTGGCGTTCCCTGACTTGTGGACATTTCACTTTAGTCTTTGTCTTTGTGACCATGGTTGCCACCTTCTCTTTGATGTGAAGTCTCACTCGGCCTCTCTCTTATTAAAAGGATGTTTGGAAGAGCGTTTAAAGTCACCTGGATAATCCCAATAATTTTCTCATCTCAGTACCCAAAACAGTTCTGTCTGACAGAACAGAAGTCCTGTCCACCTTTGTCATGATTTGTGTACCAATGACTCGGCATACTAGTCTGACTGGTGTATGACAGGAAGGAAGATCACCTACCTTGTTCCAGATACTTTACGCATTCATGAAAGGGTCACCTTTACGTCAGAAGAGCAGAATGCCCTGTGGAACACACAAGAGGAAACAAAGAGAAAAGCCTCACTTTATCTTTTCCCCTCATGGTCTCTTCGTAGATATTTGTAAAATTCTGGTTTCTCTGTCCCTCGAGTGAAATCACAGATCCCATAAATCTGGATTATTGTCTGCCTGTGGTGACCTCCGCATCATGAGACCCTGAGCTGTGTCTTAGTGTCCACTTACAAAGGCTAAGATGAAACTTGTGCTTACTCGCTTCCTTTTGTCTCTGTTCTCATTTTTGGTTTTTGTCCCTTTTTTTGTTGTTTCTGTCTTCAGTTTTTCTCTACCCTGACCTTTTCCTTGTGTGTTCTTGCCTCTTCTTTTCTCCTTCCCTTGACCTCTGCCCTTTTTTTGCCTCCTTGTCTCATCTTCTGAACTTGGAAAGTCTAACATTTGGGCCAAAAATGGATCCAGCTGTTCCTTTTCTGTCATCTGCTTTCATCACATTTCTGTACAGAAGATTTTGTGAGCAATGAACGTTCTGAAGACTTTCCTCCCAATCCTGTCCTCATTACATTCTTTGTGTGTGTGTGTGTGTGTGTGTGTGTGTGTGTGTGTGTGTGTGTGTACACGCGCAAACTTGCAGTCCACCTTCCTCAGCCCTGGAATTTCAGTTGTGCGTCTGACTGTACTTGTTCCCAAGGTCTCTCCTTGGTTTCTGCCTACCAGGACCAGGTAGTTTGTGCTCTTTCCTGGCCTGCTCATTTACCTAGTGATAACCGAAGCCCTTCTGCAGTGAGAACTGGGAAGGCTGATTGGAACTTGAGGATTCTGCCCCCTCTGCCTCATTGAGGATTCTGCCCCCTCTGCCTCATTGTCAGTCTGCAGTCTACTCGGGGAGCACCAGAAACACCTTGTGCTAAACATCTCTCCTGAAGCCCAAAGCAGACAGTAGTCTTCTTGATTCTGGCTTTGGGCTTCATGCCTCGTCAGCATGACTGCCCTTGGGTGACATTTAGGCTTCCCATGAACTAATGAGGAGAATAATTACCACACTGGCCTGTACCCCAGACCATAAGGAAAAGTGTGCTACTTGACAGGGTTCTCTTAAGAACCCTGGAAACTTATGTGTAAATGTGGTCCCCATCAGTTTCTTTCTCATTGTCCTGTCTACTTGGAAGTCCTGGGAAAGAAGGGAGAGAGGAAGCCTGCTAATGCCCACAACAGTAAAATACAGAGTGAAGCCAGGCATGGTGCTGCATACACCTGTAATACCAGTACTGTCTGGCTGTGGTAGGAGGATTGCAAGTTTGAGCCCAGGCTCAGTGATTTGGTGAGACCCTGTCTCAGGAAAAAACAAAACAAAAAAAAACACCAAAAAAACCCCACAAAAAACTGGGACTGTAGCTTGGTGCAAAGGCCTTGGTCAACCTCCAATACTGAAAGACAAAAATGAAAGAGAAAAAGCACATCCTTAAGTTCATACAGGATTGCAGGAACCGCCAAATAGACAAACAATCTTGAAGAAAGAGAGCAAAGTTGTAGGACTTACAAGGCTTACTGCAAAGCTATAGTCAAAGTAATCAAAACTGTATGTCACTGGCATAAAGATAAGCATGGAGACCAGTGGAACAGAGCAGAGAGTCTACAAACAAATTGTCAGTTGGTTTTGAACCATGGGAGAAAATACTCTCTTCAACAAATGGTACTCTCTTCAACAAATGGTACTGGAATGACTGCATATTGAAGGGTAAGAGACTGAAGTTGGACCTTTACCTCACACCATATACCACAGCTAGAAATGGACCAATGGCTTAAATATAAAACCTAAAACCATACAACTTTTGGGAGAAAGTATAGATTTACCACTTCATGACTTTGGCTTTGACAACAGATTCTCAGATATGACATCAAAAGCATGAACAACAAAAGGAAAACATAGGTAAATGCACTCGCTTAGAATGAAATCCTTTTATGAAGCACGGACATTATGGAGAAAGTGAAAAGGTAGACTACAAAGTAGAAGAAAAGGCTGGGCATAGTGTCCCACACCTGTAATCCCAGCACTTTGGAGACTGAGGCATGAGGATCACTGCAGGTGTGAGCCAAGCTGGAACACAAAACAAAAACCCGGCCCAAAACAAAAAAAAAGAAAAAAGGATTTTTAAGCCACACTAATAAAGGCCTAGTGTCCAGGATATGTAGAAAACACTTAGAACTGAATGGCAAAAGGACATATAAACCAGTTGAAAAATGGACAAAAGAATTGAATAGACATTTCTCCAAAGAAAATACCAAATTGCAAAAAAGCATTTGATAAGACACTTAACATTGTTACAGTCATTAGAGATACGCAAATTAAAATCCCCATGAGGTATCACTTCATACTCACTAGGATAGCTATTTTAAAAAGTTATTGAATTAGAACCTCATATGTTGCTACTGGGAATATAAATTCTGCTTCTGGATATATATACCACTAACATTGAAAAGAAGTGCTTAGGTAGGCATATATAAACACGTGTTCCTAGCAGCAGTGCTTATAATAGCTGAAGTTTCCCAAATGTCTGTCAGTGAGTGAATAGACAAAGCATGATAGACAGACGTACTAGAACATTAGTCATAAGAAGGAAGTAGTTACACCTCAACACATATACAGTAGGAAAGAAGCCACACACAAAAGGGCACATATTGTGTGATTTCATTTATATATGATATCCGTAATAGGTGAATTCTTTGTTATCGTTTAGATAATGTCCCTAAATGCCTTGTTCACTTATAGATGAGCTTTTGGAAAGTGATTGAATGATGGGGACCATATAGCTAACTAACTTGGGGTTTGGCAGGAAGAGGCAGTCACTGGGGTTGTGGCCTGGAAGGGTTTCTCTCCCTCCCTCCCTTCCCCTTTGATCTCTGCTTCCTGGCGACCATGATGTGGGTTGCTGTCTTCCACCAGGCCCTTCCACTGCGCCGTCCTGTGTTGGAGGCAGCCACTATGAACTGGAAATGTGAGCCAAAGTAAATCTCTCCTTTAAGTTGTAGGCATCTGGTATAGTGGTTCAGTGACACGGAGAGTGACTAAGACATTCACAGGATAGAAAGCTGATTAGTGGTTGGCATGGGGCCGGGGAAAGGGGAGGAGGAATGGGGACTGTTTAATAGATACAGGGCCTCCTTCTAAGATGACAAAAATATGGTAAACTAAATAGGGATGGTGGTTGCCC